TTTATTGAGGGCTGGAAAACAAATCTATGCCGAAATTTTTTTAGAGAACGAAATTATCTCTGAAACACATATTGGTTCCAAGGCCTTCGTCTATAGTAGTGGTTTCATTCTTTTCTAGAAATATATTTGACAATTGTTTGTGACAAAAGAAGCACAACTTCATGATAGCTTAGAATCAGTCCAAATATCTAATAAAGGACTTCTGCACTATTTTACCGTCACTATAGTAATTATGAACAACGCGTTTGTATTACATTCGCACTATGCTATATCTATAGCTGACGAAGAAATGTAAGCAGGCCTTTTGCTTCGAATCAAAAAAAAAAAAAAAACGTTCCAAAATGCCATGCTCCAATGCAGCATTACCTAGCTGGCTGGGTACCATTCAATCAAATTGTTTCTCTACTTCTTCATCTTCTTTTCATTCATTCATGTTTACATCCAATTCATCCACTCTCAACCAAAAAAATGTTTTCGAAGCAAAAACTATCTTTTTCTAGAATATTTCCCAGAATTGTCATTCTCTTGCTCATTCCTGCACCCGCTTGTGAAATCTGGCACAAGATCACCTATTATCATCAAAATTTTTGTTATTTCGCAATCCAAAACCCGCTGCCTGCATCGCGCTACATTCCCACCCCTCGGACATTCGAAAGTCATCACTTTTCATGGGCGGTCGGCCTCTTCTGGTTTTTCAATGTACTTGCTAGTGGGTAATGGATCATTAATTTTCTAATGCACCTCACATGACCTGCTGAGCCGTTGAACATTCTTTGCTTTGATTTCTGGAAAAATTTTTTTCCAGAAATTTTTACCTCGTTTTTTTGGGGGTTTTTTTTTGAGAAGTTCCTATTTTCAGATGGAACAAATCTCTGTGAAGTTGAGCTATGCGGGGGCACATCGCCGGTTCAAAATTAAGGTAAGAATATTTATATCTTGGGCTAATCTGGGAGAGTAAGAATGAAAGGCTGTCGATAACTCTGCAGGGCAAGCAAAATTTCTTAGCTTGTTTATTTATCTTTTTCATTCTGCAGGGAAATGACTACGACGGCCTATTTGCCAATCTGATGACTCATCTGTCTCAACTCGCCGATGAAGGAGAGCCCGATTTTGATATTGCCTGGCAAGGTAATTTACTTCTATTTTTTACACATTGAAAAAGTTCTCATTAAAACTTTTGTGAACTAAAATCGAATTTCATAAAACTTACATTAGAAATTATTGTATTTTTATGTTTTAGATGAAGATGGTGACAATATCATCATCTCTCGCCCTGCTGAACTTGGGGAAGCCATTGAATCGCGAAAAGATGATCTGCTTAGACTTCACACTATTAAGAAAAGCGAGGAGCACGGAAATAATGGGAGCGAAAAAGTGAAAAATGAAAAAGAAGCGGAAAATCCCTCTCAGCCAGAGGAAAATACGCAGAAAACTGAGAATTCTGGCGAGATTGTAAGTATCAAACTATCTCTTATTTCAAAGTTTGTTTAAAGTCCAAGCTTTCTTTTCCAGAACGCTATTCACGGAAATGTGCTCTGCGATGTATGTGATGCTCCTGTGATTGGTATCCGTTACAAGTGCATTCTTTGCAGTGACTATGATTTGTGCCAGAATTGTGAAAGAACAGGTGCTTCATTACTTTATTGTCACATTATTTATTTGTCCCATCTCCTTTCACGGGACGTATCTAACTCAGAATGCCAAGAAACTGTATAGATGATATGATTAAAATTAGCGGCGGGGGGAAATTGTAGGGAACTAGCAGATGCGAAAGATTGTGTGTGATTATAAGGAGACGAACTATTCCAGAAACTTTAAATAGTTTCAAATTAAATTTACTAAATTAGTAAAAATTCACATTCACCCTGTTGGTCAAAAATGAGTTTTGCCTTCTGAAAAGGTTGCA